TTGTATCAGACACAGTGTGGCCAGCAGGATGAGGCCAGTGATTGTCCTCCTGTACTACTCGGGACTGGTGAGGCTGGACCTTCAGGACTGTGTCCAGTTCTGGGCCCCTCACTACAAGAAAGACGTTGAGGTGCTGGAGCGAGTCCAGAGAAGGGCAATAAAGCTGATAAGGGTCTGGAGCACAAGTCTGATGGGGAGTGACTGAGGGAACTGTGTTTAGTCTGGAGAAGAGGAGGCTGAGGGGAGACCTGATCGCTCTCTACACCGACCTGAAAGGAGGGTGTAGCCGAGTGGGGGTCAGCCTCTTCTCTCAAGTAACAAGCGATAGGACAAGAGGAGATGGCCTCCAGTTGTGCCAGAGGAGGTTTAGATTGGCTATCAGGAAAAACTTCTTCACCAGAAGGGTTGTCAAGCATTGGAACAGGCTGCCCAGGGAAATAATAGTCACCATCCCTCTATTTAAAAGCTCTATTTAAAAGACGTGTAGATGTAGCACTTAGGGACATGGTTTAGTGGTGGATTTGGCAGTGCTAGGTTAATGGTTGGACTTGATGATCTTAAAGATCTTTTCCAACCTCAGTGATTTTATAATTCTATAAATTAAAGGTAGCTTCCAGGTTATACTGTCTAATAGCTATAGACCTAACCCCTTTTTTCCTTTTCCTCCTTCATGGGAGGAGGCTGCTAGTTAGTGCAGGCTTTCAATGGATACTTGGGTCTCTGTCATTTGATGTGTTCTTGCAAAGTAGAAAGGTTAGCTGATCAGTCAGAGTGAAAATTATTACTAATCTTTGAGATGTGAAAATGGGGCAACTTAGTGCTTTAACAGAACTTGCTAAAATAGCATTTCTAAAACTTGAGTCAGGAAAAATGTAATTAATTTGCTAATTAGTGTCTGTTAAATACAAAGGTCTGCTTCAGTGAATGTTTTTGCATTATCTGTAAAGAATTGAGTTTGTGCTAGGAAAAAATAAAACCCTGAAACTGGGTTTGTATAAAGCAAAGGAGAAGCATGTACTTTAAACTGAGAGAACTTGTCTAGACTTGTGTAACTGAACGCTGTGATTTGAATATGAATACATGTTGGTTTCATGATGAGAGTGACGTGTTTTCCAGCCACAATTGAACCTCATAAAGCTGTGGTATCCTCCATGCAGAACTTACGGTATGCCTTTCTTCTGTAATGGATTGAGTTGCTCTTGACTTTGCCCACTTAGGGCATTAACATCTCGGTTCAGAGTGGAAGCCTGCTTCTGATGTGACCTCTTTCTTGACAGTCCACTGTCCTGCTTGTTGGTTCACTCAGGAGTGACCCAAGCGCCTTTTGGACAGGCGTTAACTGGGAAACATGTTCCAGTGGCTGATGGACATACTGGTCAGTCTGCAGGGGAGCCTGCACCTCGTCTCGTGTGAACCTGAGTGACAGGCATCTTGTAAGGACGTCAGGTCCTCAGCAGCAAGTGTTGGGTCTACAGCTCTGTTCCTGGCTGCGCTACTGCCCTGTGTAGACGTAGCCTTGTGGGAGAATTGCA